TCCTTCCTTCCTTCCTTCCTTCCTTCCTTCCTTCCTTCCTTCCTTCCCTCCCTCCCCTTCCCTACCTTTCCTTTTTTGTGTGTTTCATTTTGAAGTAAAGCATGGCTAAAGGAGCAGCATCTGTTTACAGAATGCACTCAGATTGTTGCCTCTGGTTGTAAGGATTTTAAGGAAACAAGGCAAATTGGACATAAGAGTACGTGGCTTGAAGTTATGTATGGAACCATCAAGCTGCTTTTTGTTAAAACTACACACAACATTCCATTGTAAAGAAAGACTATGCTTAGAAGACTCTTCATTCTTGTGTTCTTCCTTGATTTCTGAGGATCATGGCACGTGCCTCTCTGACAGTCCTTCCAGGGAGCTACTATCTTCCTTTCACTAACAGGACAGTGGGATTCAGAGTGATAGTGGCCACTACAAAATAATGGAGGTAGGATTTGTACCAAGCCTGTCTGACAAGGGAACTTGCATCTTCCTTTTGTCTGATACAGTCTTTATTTCTGAATCGACTGTAAGGTGTCATTCTTTGTTCTGGCAATAGCTGCTGCGTTGGTCCGGCTTGTATATCATCTGACCTAGAGATCTAGATAATCAGTACAGTTGCCGGTGAAGCAATCTCCAAGGGCTAGAGAGAAAGCTGTGCTGGATTCCCTTCCTTGGAAGGAAGCCAGAGGATGCTTCTGAGAGCCCGGCCCCGTCAATCACCCTGAACTACAGTCTTAATTCTATACTGTGCAGTTTTGTTTCTTTAGTACTGTTTCGGATAGGTTTTTACTTTAATCAGGCAGTTCAAAGGATTTTTTGAGCCCTGTGTACGAGGCAGTGCCGTTGGCACTGGAGGGTTCTGAATGAGGCAGACTACTGTAGTACCATCAAGCAGTTTACAGCTTAGTGGGAAGGGCAGACATCAGCTAGACATGGAAGGGTACACAAACATGGACACGAGACAGTTGAGATGCTGGAGACCGGCTGGACAGTAAAATAGGCAAGATAACTATATGGAGGAAGTAGCCTTCCTCAGTCTGAAGGAGCTGTCTGCCTGCCATCTATTCCTTCCCCTTACGGCTCAAGATGGGCTTCTACCAGCCTTAAAACTAGTGTAGGAAAGGGCCTGTGGGATGTACTCAGCCGACAGAGCCTCAGGTGGTGGAGGCTCATGATGGAGCTTTGACTGTCTTGGCAGCTATGCTTTCTAGTCACAATTCTGCTTGTTGTCAGTTCTGTGTGATTTATAAAGTCATGATCATTTCAAGTGTGTCAGTGTTCTAGACCCATGAAATGTCAGGCTTGGGAATGGAGTCCTGGTTACTTAGGTGAGTAGTGTCCTACGTGACAGCTGATGCTCAGAATGGCACAGCTCATCTCCTTGAAGCCACATATGGACCTGGGCATTCTGGATAGAAATTACATTATTGCTGTTATTTCTAGTATCTGGCCTGGTTCATCACCCTGTTGCATTTTCAAAAGTTTTCTTCAAATACTAATGTATTGCAGGGGACATACAGAAATTTTAATACAGACTTTCGATTATGAAGTTAACAGTAAAAGTTGTTAAAATAGTTAAAATTATTTCTAAAATCCTCAAAGTTGACCATAAAAGTACAGTATGCATAATTCCACGCTGGAATAATTCCAGAAAGTAATTTTGTGGATTTTAAACTTGATTCTTTGAGATGGGCTAAAGGAGAAACTGCAAGAGAAAGAGAGAGAGAGAGAGAGAGAGAGTGTGTGTGTGTGTGTGTGTATGCATGTGTGTGTGTGTGTGCCAGGGTAGCCCTGCCACTCAGCTACAGAACCTGGAACTCACTTGTGATTATAGAATATGGGTGGAAAATTTGGACATATTCTTCGTCTTGAGTGCTGAGCCAATGCATCCAGGTGCTGTATGGGGATCAAATTCAGGGCTGTATGCATGGCAGCCAGGCCGCTTACCAGACGGGCTATACACCCAGCTCAGCCTGTGTCTTTTATGTAGTCACTTAAGTAAAAGTAGCTCAGGAAATCGCAAGGTTTCAAATGTGAGAAAGCCTGAACTAAAGAAGGAGTCTGCTTGAGGATGTCATAGCTGAGACTCTAAACTTGTGAAGTAGAAAGCTGTGCTCTTAAGGTACCATGTTGACTTCTAATCACAAAGATTATAGAAAATCAAGTACAACTGTAACAAACACTTAACGGGAAATCAAAGTCCCTGTGATGGTTTAGCATCTTTTCAGCCTCTGTTTGTCTTATTGTGTGTCCTGAAGCTATGGAAACTATACGTCCTCTATAAATAATTAAAGATAAAATAAGAACTGGATGAATAAGCCACAGCCCACAATTGAAATAGTAAAGATTGGAAAGCTTGTGCTCAAATTGGCTTTCTTTCCAGCAACAGTTGTCCTCCGAGGCATTTTCAAGGCTCCCTTTCAGACAACTGTCTCTGAACCTTGTTTTTGTCCCTAGTGAAATGGCTGTGTTGTTATGCTTGTGGGCTTTGTAGCAAGCCTTTTGCTCAGCCTCCAGTGATAACCCACAGAACAACTCTTATTGTTTAGTATTAGTTGCCTTCTGTTGAGTGATCGTACACTTTTAAAAAGCAAATTCCACCAAATAAAGAATTACTGAGATGCAGGGAGGATCTGGAGTGATGGCTTAGTGATTAAGAGCACTGGCTGCTCTTCCAGAGGACCTTGGTTTGATTCTCATCACCCACACAATGGCTTACAACTGTCTGTGACTCTACTTCCAGGAGAATCTTTTGTTCTGTTCTGGCTTCCGTGGGCACCAGGCACACATGTGGTGCACAGACATACATACAGGCAGAACACTCATACACAGAAAATAAAAATAAGTAAAGAAGATGCAGGGATATTCAAGTGACTCCCATATCCTCCCTCTCCCCTTAAGGTGGCACCTGCTAATGGAA